ATTTTTCACTCTCAAACTTCGTCAACTTTCAAATGGAGAAAAAATGATTATGCAGTGGGTAAGAAATCAGCACCAAATGGACTTTATTTCTTGTTGTCATTATGCTAATTCTACATTTTTAGTAGAGTTAGTTCTTGTTCTCCGGAGAGATTGGAATAGGTTGCATAATCACAACAAAAAATATGGTCCATTTGAACAGCTAATCAGAATGTAAGTCACATAGTTCTCTTATAATATCAAAGTTTAATACGTGTGTAAACTTTCGATTATTTCAGTCTTTGAAAGAAAAAGTCTTTGATTGTTTCAGATTCTCATAATATGCTTCTTCTATCACACGCTTGTTCCACAACTGAGTCTGCTTTTGACATCCCTATTAAGTGTAAGACAAGGTGCTGTAAATTATAATTCACTTGTAAAAGCCCTTCATATGCATCTTTCTAAATTCTGAGGAAATAATAATATTAATAAGCCTTAGAAGCTTCATTCTTGGTATGCAATAATAAATAAAAAACAGAAGGTACTATAGGCATATAATGAAAGATATAAACAACAATATTGAGTTTTCTGTCACGGTGCATACGATAAGAGAGAAAAAGAAAGTCTAACAGAAGAATCTACCTCAAGGATCCAACCAATGTACTTCACATTATTAACATGTTGGTTGACATCCAAGTCACTCCATTTAGGCTGCAAGACAGATTATCGTAATAAGACAAATTGAAAAGCACAAACCAGAGCAACAGTCTGTTGTCATTATCATACAAGGCCTACTTACAGTTAAACCAGTACGAACAATATCTGCAGTGTTATCTTCAAGTTTTGTTAGTTTTTTGTCATCCTCATCCACAACAGGATCAGAGTTCATAAAAAAAGGCCCTATCTCTGCTCGAACCTCTTCTGGCATTTTAGATAATCTCCTTGTAAGTTTATTCATCATCACACATACACTGCAAATCATCACAACAAAAATCAAAATCTTAAAAACTGCACATACCTACTGAGGACACAACTCAAAAATATAATTACATTGCAACAAAAGTACATAACGACTGTTGCTTGCCAACATGAATATTTATGTATTCCATGTAATAATAGCTTTATAGACCACAATTGTTTTTACAGAAAAACCTTCCAAGAAATGCCTAAGGTTGTGATCATCCCAGTATATATGCAGAAGAAAAAATACATGAAAAAGAAAAAAACACCAGTCAGTATGTTAGCAACACCTTTTCAGAACAATCCAACTACATCGTGTAAGCTTAACATGAAAAACCCAAAAATCATTTTCTGCGAAACAATATGTCAATATCCTACCTGGTTGCTCTTGTTAAAATTTCACCAGTATTATAATCTTGGATAAGCCAATCTCGACGCAATCCATTCTTTCCAGATGCACTAACCCAAGTGTCTACCTGTACAACATCACCCCTATAAAAGTGGCATAAGTTAGAAATTGGTA